GCCTTGAAGAGCTCACCTCAGTGCTGCTCCTTGTGCCTGGCACACGTGTGCAGGGGCACTCACACAGGCAGAGGTGTGATGATGTCTGAAGCCCATAGAGCCCGACAGTGACCCCTGGCTGGACCCAAGTGTCACCCATCCCCACTGCCATCCCAACTTTGCTGTGGTTGGTTGCACCAGAATACTTTCATTCTGCCGATACCACTCCACAGCTGGCCCCACCGTCCTGACAGCCTCTTGTCTCCCTCTCCTTTGTCATCTGCATTAGCTCAGTATTTTAACCCTGTTTTTCGCCTACTCTGCTTCACTGGTGCTTGTCCAACATCTGCTCAGAGACGCCTGGTGAGAAGATGCCCTGCAAATCGCCTTGTGGTTTGCAGACTGAATTCCCTAATGATGCTCTCATTAATAGTTCTTGCTGCCAAATGCTGTTTGCTTTTACTTTCAGAACTGTCTGCATTAATAACAAGTACCTCCACTTGGAAATTATTTACATGAAACATTGTTCTCTCATCACTGCCACTGACAGCGGCTCCGGACTGGGTGAGGGAAGGACACCGTGATGAATTCACCCATGTGCTGCATGAGACAAGGAGAACTCGAGGATTTCAGAGGAAGTAAGTCTTGGAAAAAGCAGAACTATTCCTTGCGACAAGGGCTGGTTGCACAGTTAGGGCAGACGAGCTTGTCGGGGATGGTGCTGCACTCCATCTGAACCTGTGGGAAGTGTGCCTGTTCCTAATAAGCACCGTGTGTATTTATGTGGCAGTCATTGTGCTTTGCAAGAGGGGAGTCACAGAAATAATTAGTTAAGAGCGTGAGGTTTTTGGCACGGATTCCCTTTCTCAAGTAGCTGTGATGTTCATATATAAGAAAAATTGATTTGGCATCTAGACAGGATTTCAGCACGCTCATGGTTATGGAAATCAGCTATGGGCATGAAGGAAATCTGTATATTGATTCATAAACTGACTTGATGACTTGTTCATGCTTTAATATTTTCATGGGCTTTTACCCAAAATAAAAATGTCAGTAGATACCACTTGACTGTGCTGCAGCACTGCCTGAAATGGTGGGAAGAACGCAGGAAAGAAAAGGGATTTCCTACTAGACAGAAACCTGTACTGTCTGTGGTAATTATTTTTTTCCTACGAGAGGGTTTTTTTTTTGCCATTACCCTTGTTTATTTTGTTAAACTGTGCACTTACATAACACCCCTGGGAAGATCATTACCTGTGAAATCCAATCCAAGTTATGTAGAAAGATTTGAAAGTAGCCACAGACCTTTTCAGTGGGTAGAATTTGGTCAGGACACAGATGAACCCTTGGAAACTGTACTGCTGTGTGCACAAGGCCACAGATCACTGCAAAGATGTCTCTCTGGAAGAAGACTCAGATTCACGGACGTTGTTCTCTGAGAACTCAGGAAGGTCTCACTTCAGCACGTGCTGGTAATGCTGGGGCTGCAGCAGAGGTGTGTGTGGCAGTGTGAAGAGTCTGTGCTTTGGCATAGTCCAGTAGAGCAAGAGCTAGCAGCAGTGTTGGCTCTTCTTTTTGGTCAGGCTGGCTAGGTGGTGTGTAGTCAGCATCAGCGCCCTTGTTTCACTGGCTTGTGAAAAAACACCCGCTACTATCCTGTCTCCCCATGAATACTTTTCTCTGCAGGTTTAAAACCTTAATCCCTGAATAATGCCTCCCCCTGCCTCCTGGTTTTCTTTGGGGACCTTCCAGCACTGGCCAGTCCTGACCCTATATGACTTCAGGTATGTGGGGCTCAACATGGAGGTGATGTGGCTGCTGGCTATTTTAAATGAGCACGAACTATGTGATGTATAACTTCACTTAAGACCCAGGGCAATAATTATTGTCCAAACGCTGATCTGATTTGCATAAATGTTCTTCACTTCCATTGTGACTTCAGAAAGAAATCAGTGGGCATAAGGTACAATATGGTGCAGTGCATGTGCTGTGCCATAGGGGTGTAGAATTTTTTCTCCATCAATAACATCTCTTTTGGCAAGACACAGGAACAAAAATCTATACTGTATTGAGCTGTACAGTTTGGGAAAGATGTTGTGTATATAACAGCATATTTTGAATGTGTAAGTTGTTCCTTGTGACGAAATCTTCCTTTAAAACAGTTGGTTATTCACGTTCACAGAAATTCTGTAATGTCATTTCCCCAGTTGGGGTGCACTGAGCCCTGCCGGGGAGGCCATGGAGATGCCTCCAGGTGGGCTTTGGGAACATGGAGAAATTTTCACGTGTTCAGGGAAAGACAAGAAGGCCATTTTGTCATTTGGTGGTTGGCTTCTTGCGGCTTATTAAATAGTCTGCCAGACTTGTGGCTAACGAGTGATTTTAATGTAGTTTGAAGGCAGCTTTTGTTTCCCTCAACCGCTACTTTAAGAAAGATCCCATAAAATTAATTGACTGATGAACTGCATAATTGATGCTGTCTACACAGTGTGCACCAGCCAAAACTGATGGGTAGCGAGAGCACTGGCATCCTGGTAGGGGCTGTGCTGAACCCTGCAGAGAACCTCTGCTCGCCTTCCCTTTATGCTCTTGGGTAGGAGAGGGCATGTTTAGTTTTCTGCTTACTCTATTCCCTTTTGTACTTGCTCATTTGCTGGGTGCATAAAGGAGAAGAGGTCACTTGTGCACATGGGATAAAGAGGTATTATGAATTCTAAAGTGTTTGCTTTATTGGGAAAAGCACACCGAGCAGGAAAGCACAGGAACACAATGTGTGAAATTTTAATGAATGCTGTGCCAAAGTGTGTGTGCATTTTTTTTCTACCTGTAGCAGCTTTATTCATTTGGGAGAGTACTGCGTACAAGATATTCCTTAGTAGTATGCTGGCTGCTGTTTAGTTTTAATAAATTAAATCCTTTATATCAATGTAATATTCTTTAGACAAGCACTTCCAAGACAGATTAGAAATGAACTTAAGGGGATTAAAAGCTTCTCTTGCTAAAAACAATGTTTCAGATGGGAAATCCACTTATTTATGTCACTTTCAGTGGAGTACATTTGTCTTTAATATGTTTCTGCTGCTACAGAAAGCAGTGCTTTGCCCATGACTGCAGCCTTTCTGCTCTGCTTTACATACACAGCAATGTTTATTTTCTTCAGTACTGTAAGTCGCTTTGGGAAAGATTGATGGCTTCCCATAAAACTGTGAGGAACCATTTTCTTTGTTATTTAACAAAAACAAAAGATTTACTGGATCTAGAGTTTTAAATAGCGTTGGTCTCTGTACAATAGGAAACTGCGAGTGGAGCGTGTGAGCAGAGAGAAAAGTCTGCTTTGGTATTTCTCTTATTGCCTTGTAGCAGGCTGCATGCATCTTCTGGAAGGTTCTCGTTTGAAATCCTGGGCGTTTTGGGAGCAGCAGGCCCAAGGAGACAGCAGCTCTCAAGCCTGCTTCCCTGAACCCTCCCCAGCTGTGTGGCTGGGTGCTAATGCTGCTCCAGGCACATGGTTCAGTGGCACGTCCCTGTGCTTGGGCCTCTGGTACCCACGGAACAGAGCTGATGGAGTGGCCAGGCTGCAGCAGTGCTGCTCTCCAAGGTTGCTGGGATTTGAACAGCACCAGGAGGCCTCACAGCTTGAGGCTGGGGGAGCAGCTTCACTGCTCCTAAGTCATACAGAGCGGCTCTGGGAGCAGCTGGCTGCCCCTTCTCCCCACACTGTGGGGTTTTTGCAGGGCAGGATCCAACCCTGTGGGGTAAATAAGGAGTCTCTGCAGCCTTTGGACTGCAGAAGAAACAATCAGGGTAAAATACAAACTAGAAGAAATAAGGGAAATTGATGTTTTAATTGGAGACCTTTCAGTCTTTGTATTGTTGCCACTTGCGTGCTCAGCCTTGGAAGTAGGGTACCTGCTCCTTACCCACCAGCTCCGTTACAGCTTGTGGGCATGTAACTGTTCAGTGCATTGCAGTGATCTGGGCAGAGGTGAGCCCTCAGCATACCAGGTCTGCCTCTGTAGCTGTGTCTGTGACACAGCACTGAATTTCATTAATTTAGGTGCACTTCTATCCATTGTTGGTTAAATCTGTTTCAAAATCTCTCTTGTTCCATGATGTCCTTTAAAGTATTTATTTAAATGGTTTCCAAGTAAGTTTTTCCCAGTATCTGCTTACAACAAGATCGTTTCCGTCAGTGCTTTTGGGACACTGATGCTTTAGGCTCTGCTGTCTCATTTCAGCCACAGCTCCTCTTCCCTTCCCACCCCAGAGAGTGATTCTCAGATTGAACTGTGGCCCATCCAAGAAAGCAGAGCTGATGTCTCAAAGCAGTGCTCCAGGACCGAGTTGCCTGACTTCTCTGGCATTCAGAAAGGCCCTACAGTGAGGCTTTGTATCGGCCTCATATTACTAAGATTGTATGAGAACAGGCAGCTTAGATTAAACCACTATCTCTATTTTATCTTATTTTGTGCTGTTCTGCTGTCTGAGACCAGATTTAACTCCTCTCCCCAAAAAGACTTTCTTTTTTTTGCTGGCCTTAGCATTTATCAGACTTCTAAATCCTTACCTATTGCTCACGATAACAGGAGTTGACTGAAGTTTCACCACTGGTTTCACAGTGGAAAGGGCAGGTTAATTTTCTGTAGAATATCGATGGGCTCTGCTATCAGTATAACTACTATGTATGCTGGGAACTGAACCCATATACATTGCTACGCTGCTGATCAGTAAAAGAAGAAAACTTATCAAGAAAAAAATATATAATTAGGATCAGGGGTGGAATCTCACTGGGAAATGTGGTGTAAAAATGCTTCTCATTTTAAATTAAGCTTTCGATGGCAAGTGCTTGGCTTTCAACAACTCCTCTGAAACTCTTTTAATTGAAGTTCCACGAAAATCTGGGGAGTTCAGCTCAAGTTCACGTCCCAAACCCATCCTGATTTCATTAAAGATCTGATCTTTCTTTATTTGCCAATAAAATATATATGTGTGTGTGTATAAATCAGTATCTGCTCTATAACTGTTTTTTATTGTTTTTATTATTATTATTTATTTAGAAGTACAGTTTCTCTTCTCTTTATGAAGAATGAACTCTGCTCCCTTTGTGTAATGAGAGGGGAGGGACAACCCAAGGGAGATCCTTCACCCAGGTGTAGGTTTGGGGCTCAAGACACACTTTCCTGCTGCTTGCCTGTTGCTTTCTCGTGTCCCGCATTGGCTGTGGCAGCCTCAGTGCTGGCAGAGCTTACAGGAGAGATGATGGGCTCTTGGTGGCTCCGTGGAGGCCAGCATGGTCTCAGGCTGGTTGGCCTGGGCCCTGTGTTGCCCTGGTGGAAATGGTTGGAGCCCCGGGGGCTGGGGCTGAACATGCCCTGCTCAGGCTCAGGGTATGGCCATTCTGCTTGCACATCACTATTTCCTTCTCCTGTACCTAAGACCCAACAAAGGTCCTGATTATTTGGGAGAGCCTTGTTCTGGGCTGACAACGAGTTCATGATTTTCCTTCATCCTTTTCCCAAGCTTTGTCCCACTTCCAGCTGCAGTGGCCAGATGCGCCTGTAACCAAGGGCTGAGTGTACACAGCCTGTTTGTGCCAGGGAATGGCATTGCTCTGCTTCACCAGCACAGCAGTAAGGCAGGCTCCAGAAATCCCCTCCACGTACCTGAGTTGTTCCTCTTCGCTGCCTGCAGGACCAGGAAAGGAGGGTTCCTGGGACCTAACAGAGTCCTGCTGTTATACTGCGTGGGACTGAATATGAAAACCTGTTGAAAACAGTGTAAATCCTGAATTCCTCGAGGCAGAGAACAATGACACACTTGACTGTCTCAGCCCAGTGAGTAGCAGTGCACCAACGATTGCACGCACCGCTCTCCTGCAAAGTACTCAGCCATCTGAATTTCCAGTTTTGTGTTTCATCCCACTTTTCTTCTTTTGTCTTCTTCTCTTGTGATAGCAGCGACCTGTTTGCAGCCTCCCTCGGGAGCCCTGCACGTCACTCTCTGCAGTCCCAGTGAGTCGCATTTCGGCTTTTCTGATCAAGGTCCAGCTGGAATCTCACATCTTTGTTTCATGTATTTAATATACTCAGAATTCACTAAATGATAGTTTATAATATCATTATCAACAGCTAAAGACATTATAACTTCAAGAAATGGAAAGAAGGTGCAGCCATATGTGGAAATGCTTTATTTTGTGCACTTTTAACCCTCACAATAGCTCAGCTGCAGGAACGGGGACAGCGGTGAGAGGCAGGAAAACAAATCCTATGTCTGCAAAATCATTTTTCAGCTTTCCCTCCACTGTTGTCATGAAAGAGCACTGCACTATTTGGATGGTAAATAACAACCAAGGACTAATTTATTTTTCTTCATAAAATTATTTCTTGAATTGGATTCAAATGTGTTCCTTATTACACGGTTTGATAATTCAGTGATGCTTTCCCCCCATAACATATGAGCTGATTTAAACCTTCACTCTAAACAGCCTCAGGCTTATTAAGAACAGTGTGGACTGAGTATGGATTAGGTTTAAAAGTAATAAAAAAGTAGACCTGTTGGTTAGGTGAAAAATTCACTATCAGATTCCTGAGTGCAGCTTTCTTTTCATGTGCAAACTGCATTAAATGAGGCATTTAATTCAACAAATCCATAGTTCTGATCCACCAGAAATAGAGACTGGGTTAGTTCAATTTGTAACAAACGATCTCCATATGATCAAAGTCCTGAGAGCTGATTCCAACATACTGCTTAAATTAGTCTAACACCGAAGTGTTTGGCTCTGGGACAATATTTGGAATGTCTTACCAGAAGAAAAATTCCTCTGCACACATGGTTCCAATATCGGGGAATGCCAACCTTGCTTTTTAATGGGCTGACAGGGAGCCTCCGTGCTAACTTTCTGACTCCAAAAAGTTCTTGTGCTGTCACCCGCAAACCAGCTTGGATAATTTTTCCTTGGCTTCCTTATTAAAGCCTGAATGAAGGGATTGTGTGGCTTTCTTAATGTCACTTGGTCTGCTTGCCATAAATTCAAGCACTCATGATGAAAGCTCCACTTATATTTCGCTGGGAAATGGAATCAAGGAGAATGCACCCTCGTTCACAATAAATAACTAAAGTTGAGTTATTAAGTGTATTTCATATACCAGCGCCTTATTACATCAGCAGTTTAGATAATGGCTTCTTAAAAATATTTCTCTACTGAAATCCACGAGGAGCGGGTTGCACATAGACGTCCCTGTGCACAAAAACCGAAGCAGCTGGCTCCAGCAGTAACTTAGGACTGTATTAACCAATAGCAAATATTTACATTTTTACATGCTGCTGTCTGTTTAGATTACGCAGCCGTTGTGCTCTCAGCAGTGAGCAGAGGCAGTGTTTGCTCGCCCCTGCCAGGAGCGTTTGTTTGCTGTGAGAGGGATGTGAGCTGGTGCAGCCTTGTGGCTGCAGTGCACGGTGAGCATGGCACACAGAGCTCAGTGGGACCTGGTGCCCCTGCCTCCCTTCACTCCTGCTTGTCACAGTAACCCACAACATTTTCAAAGGCCTCGGCTGAATTTTCTCTGTTTTTATGGTTTGTCCTCATGTGAAAGTGATTCATACAATTAAGCTGGAAGCTTGCTTTGTGGCCTTCCAGTATTTGAAAGGAGCATATAAACAGGAGGGCGAATGACTATTTATGAGGGTGGATAGTGAGAGGACAAGGGGGAATGGTTTTAAACTGAGACGGGGGAGGTTTAGGTTGGATATTAAGAGGGAGTTTTTCACCCAGAGGATGGTGAGGCACTGGCACAGGTTGCCCAAGGAGGCTGTGGAAGCCCCATCCCTGCAGGCATTCAAGGCCAGGCTGGATGTGGCTCTGGGCAGCCTGGGCTGCTGGTTGGCGACCTGCACACAGCAGGGGGTTGGAACTGGATGAGCACTGTGGTCCTTTGCAACCCAGGCCATTCTATGATTCTATATTTACATATCTTGAATATGCATATCAGTCTTTATGTTTTTACACCATGACTGTACATGCATGAGTGTAATACTGTGTTCCTAGTGTTCCAGTAGGAACAGCCAATGAGTACATGCCCCTATCAGCACGTTGTTGTTGCAGCTTTGCAGCTCCCTCCTGGTTGGTTATGTTGCATTTTGGATAATGAGGAGATTATTTTTAAATCTGTGCTAGACATTGCTTGATATTTTATAGCAGCTGGAAGAGAAGGAGGTGGAATGATGAATGGTTGGAGCTCAGAAATGGAGCAAAACTGCTGTTTTCTGGTAACTCTTCTGAACAGGTGGCTAAGTAAGCCAATTAAGCAGACTTTAAGAACAAATTATGATAGTAATCCATTGTCTGGGATCATTGAAATGTGCTGGGTGGAATCTCGTCCCCAGAGCTGCCTGAATAATGAAAGTCTGTTTTGGTGTAATTTTATTGTTTTCCTGTTCATTGAATGTTCAGAGGAGCTTGCCTTCCTTCTCTCTCTGGGCTGGGCGTCAGGGCACGCAGCAGCCTGGCAGCATGGGCTGTGCCTGGCTGGCCGTGTCCTCCTCAGGCGCTCTCCTCTGCGTGCTCTTGCTCAGAGGTGATTAAGAAACAAACCAATGAGTGATGCGCGTTACTGTGTGTGTGATGGGAGGGCAGTGGGAAATTTGGGTTTTGCTCCCACTAAGGACAACGGATGGCCCATTGACTTGGGTACTGCTAGAGAATCCCAGGAGCAGCACTGTGAAGCCACTGTGGTCCCCACCACTCAGCTCCCTCTGCTGAGCCCCTGCCTTTGCAGGTTGCTTTGTCTCCTTTTTGCTTTTAAATCCGGGACAGAAAGGAGTTGTGCGGAATTATTTCAGGCTATCGTATGGTAACAACTCCATGTTGCCACGTAGGGCTGCATGAACCGGTGACCCAGTGACAAAATAAATTACCTGTGAGCTGAGGGCTGGAGATGGTGAGTGGCAGAAGAATGGCGCTCCAAATTGTGTTCAAGAGATTCTGTGTTCACTTAAGAAAAGTGACTGTTCAGCCAATTTATTCATTGGACGAGTTCCTTTTTAACCATCTTAATTCACCGCTTTGCCTACAGTGCCCGTCATTGGTTTATTAGATATTCATCGAAAGAGATTTTAGCATAAATACGGTTCCACAGAGGATTACACACAGGGAATCTGTTCTTTTAACCTACTTATTTGGATACCAAGTATTTGTTGAAGTGGACTCATATTTACTTAGTCCCTTAATGAAGTCTAGAAAAGCTTTTCTGCAAAGGGAATATTGTTTTGTAAAAATTAGCTTACTTAAATAGTTTTCAAAGTCATCTCAGAACAAAGATTTCAAAGGCAGAGCGCCAGCCTAATATTTACTTTTTACGCCGTACGGTAGTTTAGACTTGCCAGAAAAAGTGCACTTGCTTTTTTTGTGTTGTTTTGTTTAAATTTCTCTGTTTTTAGTTGTGAGATATATATGTCATTTCTAGGGGTATGGAACTAATTGAGGAATATGTCCTGCCCTTGTTGAGGTGAACAGGGCAGATAAATAAAAACTCCATTGGACATAAATCTCCTCCACTAACATCAAAGAAGCAGGATCCTGCTAAGTGTATTTGTATAATGCAGTAATTTATGCAAAAAGCAGCTTTTGTCAGCAATGCAACAAAGCAGCTTTGATAAATGTCCCCTAATTTATTGTCATGTATCTCAAATCAAAGTAAAACATTTACAGCCTGCACACTGAAGGAACCCAGGCCCAGGGCACTTAAAGGGTTTCTCTCCCTCTCCATCTCCAGTCCCCCCCGCCCCCCTTCTTTTTTTTTAAAGTACATAAAGCTAAGTTGGGCAAAAGGTTAAAAAGGCTCTGTTTTGAATGCTAAGTACTTTATACAAATTATGGGAAAAATAATAACGGAGCTGCTTAAAGAACGACAGAAAAGCCTGTACAAATTCAGATTAAAAATCCGCTTAGCTTTTCTCTTCTGGGTGATGTTAACAAATCATAATGCAGGCACTAATTGTGTTTTACAGGACAATCACAGTGTCTCAGGCTCCGAAAAAAGAGTGAAACAGTGACTGGAAATGGTAAGTGTTGGCCACAGTGCTTCACTGCCCTTCCCAGGTCTCCTGAGCCTTGCCAATATGGAAGCCAACCTAAATGTGAGATGGTGGAAGATGTTACCACTGACTTGGAGATAAAAATGAGCCCCTAAGCCACTGCTGGTTCTTCCATGGTACAGAAACTCACTGACTTGATCTTCTCCCAGCTACTAGGGAGACACAATGGCCTTGTCTACAGAGCCAGTCCCAGAGGACCATTTTACAATGGAAAGGTCACGCAGTGAGGTGTGACTGATGAGGCAGGATCTGAAATGGGGTGGCCACGGTGCCGGTGAGGACGTGGGTCAGGACGCAGCCAGGTCCAGTTCTTCAGGTTTGGCCTCTGTCAGTGGGTGGCACCAGGAGCACATCCCTGGCTTCACTGCCTCTGCCACACTGTGTGCCACCTGGCTGGTCTGGTCACTGGGAGTCCTGGGTTGGGCTGTGAGTGAGGAGTGAGCATCCCCAGGGTGTGAGCTGGGAGGGAGGGGAGCAGTCAGGGCTGTTGTGTGGGCATCACCTCTGGCAGTGGGGATGGACATGGTGGACATGGACCATCCTGGGGCCACGTCTGGGGACAAAAAGGGCAAACTGCTGCCCTATGGACCGGGATGCTGTCCTGCAGTGCTGCTGAGGAGCAGGAGCTCACTCAGGAAGATCTGGAGCTGGCTCACGGCAGGGAGGCTGCCGAGTGCTGATAAATTAAAAGTATGTGGGCTTGTCAGTCACCCGCACTGCCTTCCAGTTACAAAGACCCAAAGTGATACGGCTGCTTCTCGGGACCCTTTGATATTTAGGGAGAGTGATAAATTCAGTTCTGTTTCTGCAGAGATCTAGAGCAGCTCCACATGTCAGATTGCTTCAGAAGTAGACAGCATTTCTATGTTTTTTACTTAGAAAGCTCTGTTTATAATAAACCAAACATACAGCTCCAGGAGTATAATATCCTTCGAGTGGTGTTGTTTCAAAGTGTTTTACAACCCATCTGGTAGGCTGACTCAAACTATTAGGCGTGTTCTTGGAGAAAATGCTTTATTCGCACAGATAGTAGTATGTTTCTGGTACTGCAAACCAGAAGGCTGAAGCCTTGCAAATCCAGGCCTGCTGCACCATAAAACAGACATGAGTTCACTGAGAAAGTGAAAAGGAGATGTTGTTTCTTAAAAATGTTCTACTTTCTTTATGTAAAGTTGTGCCTATAGGTAGCAGAGCCAGTGCCATGCCAGTCCTCATTGGCACGTGGGGCTGCTTGCTGCAAGGCCTGTGCATGGCTGCCTTGCTGGTGGCATCATGACACACTCAGGCTGTAAGTCAGTATAAGAGTTTAAGTTCATATCATAATTGCTGGGGTTATAATTTAAATTTTAGAAAAAGGATTCTGCAGCCATGGAGATTGAAGTGAGAGATGTTCGCAGTAGAAGCACCGAAGGTGCACTCAGCAAGGCTGACCATGGGTGCAGTGAAAGCAGAGCCTGACCACAGTAACACCTCCATCAGGTGCAGAGCTCAAGGGAGAATCCCCAGGAACAGGTAAGTTAAAAAAAAAAGGCATCACTGACATTCATTGACTCTTGCTGGACATTTATGGAGACCAGCCAGTGGATGTGAGTGCAGTGAAGTGGTGGGCAGGGACAGTGGTCACCTCTGCTGGTGCAGATTAGTACAAGTGTAGCATGTGGGCTCTTGTTCATTGCTGGTGAAAATGCAGAGCTAATGGTGGTGACTGTGTTGAATAGCATTTGTTGCAGGTAATCTGCTCTATCACACAGTGTTACTGTGCTCTTTGTGTATATCTTTATACAGAGAGATGGATAAGGAGACAAAGGTATGTGTGTGTGTGCATCACGTGTCTCTACATAAAGACATTTCAGTACATCTGTATGTTAGATCACAGAGTGTTGCTGGAGTGAAGGCCTTGTCCAGGGCTGTGGCACTGCCATGGCTCATGGACTTGTAGGGGCACAGCAGGTGACACTGGTTTACACAGCAATGTGCAGGGCGAATGGTGGGAGCCCTGCCTGCAGAACAAAGCCGCGTATGGGAGCTGGGGGACACAGGCAGCAGGAGCTGCACTGTACTCTGTGTGCAGCTCAAGGCTGGCGGGTTCCCACATCTGCTATGGGAGGTCAAAGGAAGTCCTCAAAGTAAATTTAAGAGTATATTTAAAATGCGCACATGTAGCAGCAGCATGATCAGCAAAGCTGTTGAGCAGATATGCCACATTAAAACCAGTCTCCTGCAGGCACCAGCAGAGCTGTTTCTGCATGGCAGTCAGGTGGTGGCCAGTACCCAGCGGGACAGTACCTTCCTGTCACTGTCACTGCTGCTTGCTCTGTGCTTGCTGTACCGCTGAGCCACTTCTCTGTGTCTTAGCGCTCAGAGAAATGAATGGGAGCTTTCCCTCCTCCATGCTAAGATCTGAGGGCAGCAGGTGTGCTTTCCACAGCCAAACCAGCAGCAGCTCAGGATGCACGGCCCACCGTGCCCGCAGTGCCCGGGTTGAGGACGCCCCTGCCCTCTCCCCACTCACCCCCGCTGCTGCCAGCATGCCTGCTGCATGAGGTGCTGGCCATGCACACTCACCCTCTGCCCTCCCTCCTGCATCCATTTTCCCTTTCTTTTTGCATCAAGGCTTTGTAATGAAATGTTATCCCAATATGTTTAAAGCAGAGACAGCTGTGAGTAGCTGTTAAATAGACACAGAGTAGAGCTCACTCCAAAATATGCGTGTTCAACACAGTGCTTTAGCTGTAAGTTGTGCTACGAGACCACAAAAATGAAGAAATCCAAACATATTAATTGTTTGAAATGGGAACGCTCGTTGTAAAGGCAGGCATCCTCTTAGAGGTCTCACTTTATCTCAGCGCACTTATGTGGGAGCAGTACATCTGACACACAGTTTCGGTTTATTGTGTAATGCTTCAATGAGAAGTAAATGCAAATTACCAATGATGATCCTTATAATTTGAAACACAACCAAAATCAAACTTTTTGAACAAAGAAATGGAACGAGATTTTGTTTCGTTCATCACATCTCACAAATGAGTCTTAATGTGACACACACAGATTTTGAAGGAGTTCACGGCAGGCCAAATAAAGAAACACAACAAACCCTGCCCCCCCATCTCAGAACGTGGCATTAAAACCACATGGATTTTAAATTCTTGTTCTTATACTCAAAATTGCATTAACAGATTTTGACCTCAAGACCAAGGCACGTTACGTTTGAAGGCCCAGCACTGCTGCTGCAATCCACAGCACTGCTCCCACATTGCCTGAGCGAGGCCCTGCTGATGCAATAGTGGCCCGCATATGTCTCATATTAATGATATTTTCCTAATAGTAATAGCATTAAAGTCTGCCTACCTAGCTATTGAGTTACCTTATTTAGGATAATTTGCCCAAAAGCCTAACCTGGAGCATGTGAACAACCGTATCATTTTATAACACTTAGCTTTAAGATATCAGAAATCAAAGCAGGCTGACAGTCTGATTCCAGAACTAGCAGTTTTCCATTTAAAAAAACAAAAACTGTTGTGTTTCTTGAATTAATTAATTATCTGGATTTTTGTTGTATTTTCCACATGGAATTGATGAAGAAAAATTTTTTTCTAAAGAATGAGATGAGCGAAAATTCACACATGGAAAACAAATGAGCATTGGGAAGCACTCCTCATAGCTAATGGCTACTTGGTCTGGTGCCAGAATTCATACAGATCCTTAAAATCAAGTAAATTATGCCCGTAGTGATAGCTCCCTTTTGCTGGAGTCCCACAACAAGCACCAAATGGTGGAGCGGTGCACAACTGCCAAATTCCATTTTTCACCTCCCATTTCCTTTCAGCTGAGCAGCCTCGTTCCCAGCAGAAAGGCCCATGCATTTTTTTATGGCTCCCCTCCCAGCCCCATGTGAAGGGCCTGATCCTGCCCATGGCACAGAGGGCAGTGCCTACCGTGGGGTCAGTGGACGGCAGTGGTGGTGGCATCTTCCCACTGAAGGGAATGGAAAGAATTGGGTCTTGCGAAGGAAATAATCATAAAACAAAAGCCTTCTTTTGCTTGGTTCTTTTGATAAGATCGCTCGCTGAACTCAGAGGTTAGGAAATGTGCCGCTCGCCATGCGCCAGATTAACAACTGTTGAATTCTGTGCTAGAAAATTCAGCTGGATTACAGAAATATCTGTTAAGAGGAGGATAAATATTTATAAACAATCTTCCTTGCAGAACACGTCTCCATCATTCATTTCCCCGTGATGAAAAATCTGGAACAATGGAACTAATGACTACATTGTTCCAAAGTTAAATCGTATATCTAATAAGGAAAATACTAAAATGAGCCAAATTCTTTATGAACACAACAGCGAAGCAATTAAAATAAATGTGATTTTCCAGATCAAAACTTCTGGCTGTTAATTGCTAGATGGCACCTATCCTAGTCATATGAGTTTCCCTCGCAGCTGTTTTTATTTCACGATACATTTTGGGCTCCCCAGAGCCGTGCAGAGCTTGGACGTGGCGGCAGCGCGCCCGGACAGCTGCGCGGGGCTGCGGGGCTCAGGGATGCGCTGCTGGGACAGGGACAGGCCTCGGGCCAGGCGCATTCTCGCTGCTGCCCTTTGCTTGCGTTCTCGCCCTGCTTGCCCGTGTTACAGTGGGGATGATGGGTGGGCACTGTGGCATGCCTGCGTGCAGAGTGCTTCCCAGAAGGAGTATTTTGGAGGATGTGCTTCCATCATACGCTGTGTCCTAGTCACGGCATCTGGCTGGGCTCATAGCCATCACTCTCTCCATACCTCTTCACTCTCTGCGTTTGACTTAAAAAAAAAAAAAATTGTTCATGGGTGCCCTAGCACAGCAGCAGTGGGGCAGCGGCTGCAGCCCCACCAGGACCAGGGCTCTTTAACCCACCCCACCTCAGAGATGAAACTCTGGAAACCTGGCATGCTCCAGCCAGCTTTACTTGAAGCTGCACTTTGGTATCTGTAGGTTATTAATGAGATTAAAGAACTCCGTTACAGGGAATGACAACTGCAGTTTGTCCAACATTAAGCAGATATTGGCATCCGTAGGTGTGAGTAGGAAGGCAATGATCTCAGATATTGAACGAGCTAAAGCCATGAGCAATATGATATTGATTAGACAATGGGTATTGTATTTACCCACATAGCTTTATTGGGTGAGGCTCAATGTGATGTGTTTTTATTTGGGAAACTTAAGGAAGATAATTAAAAATGCTGTAAGGAGAGCCCAGCAGCCTTTGTGCTTTGCTTTTTAAAGGCTGCAGATGTCCTGTCTTCTTTCTTTAAAACGGCATGTGCTCCCTCTCCACCTTCCAAAAGATCAAGGGTAATAATAACAACAATAATAATACAGTGTCCTGGAATTTTTCTACATGCCTCAAGAGAACTTTAATTTTTTCCAGAAACTGTTTTCTGACAAAAGCCGCCCCGTGGACTTTTCCTGTTCCCCAGTATGCATTCGCAATGCTGCTGCGGCCAAGTTGAAATGGTGTCTTTTGAATATAAGGCCTTTTATGTAGAAAACCTTTCTCTTGCTGAACAAAACCCTGCCTGCAGCACAGGGCAGCCCTGACCCAGTGAGCAGGTAGTGTTGTGCACTGTCAGCCTGCGCACCCGGGCAGCCCAGCGTGGCCTCCATGACAGAACTCAGGAGCCTCACTCACATCCACAGCCCCGTGGTTAAAGCATGAACAGAGAATGCATCCTCCCCATCTCTTCTGATGTTTCTCCCATCAGTTGCATTCCCTTTCCCCACGGGCCTTTTTCCATTATTTTTTAGTTCATAATCCCACAGCGGTGCCCAGCCCAGCTGTGTTCCCATCTTGCATCAGAAGGCTGGCTCACTGCAGCGCTCCGTCCATGGGACGCAGGTCCACGTGGCTGCAGGCAGGGCCTGGGCCTGGCACACAAACGCGGCCTGCATCCAGCTCAGGGCTGAGGCCAGCCCCTGTGTGCCACTCTCTCTGCCTCTGCCGAGGCTGGTTAAGCTGAGGTGTGATGGCTCAGCCTTTCCCCTCCCTCCACGCATGGCTGCTGCTCTACTCCCCAAGCTTTTGGCCATGGGCCGTTTAATATTTTCCTCCAGTTCAGCCATCTCCAGTCACCAGAGCTGCTGCCGACTCCGCTCCCATGGGTGAGGCAGCTTCTCACAGCCACCACTTCCTCTGCTCTCCAACCTGATGCTTTCCAGCTCTGCGCTTTGCAAGGGGAGACAGAGGAGCGTGTGCCGAGCCTCCATCTGCACCACATCACGGGAATACAAAATGGCACCGAGTCCTACTTTTCCTCATTAGATGTGGGCAAAGTTGGCTGCATCGCAAGTGCGAAAGCTCATCTTTCTTCAGCTGCTTGTAATTCGTGCTTGAGCAAGAGAATTATTTGGGGCTTAAGTCAGAGTCTTCTAAGTAGGTCACAGTTCTTCTAGACCCAAACTCCTGCATATGACTTCTCAGAAATGCAGATCCCTGTCTTCCTGATTTGTGAAACACCTCAGGAGCCCTCTTATCAACTTTATCAGCTCCTCAAATGAATCCATAAAACAAGCAGCTACTGAGAAGTTGCTTCCTGCATAGAGTTCAGACTTGGAAAAATTCCCCTGCCTTGGGTGGCAGCCATTTCTGTCTCATTAGAATAGCTAGTTTCTTGCATTTTAAGGATGCTCCACTGTAGCCAGGTGAATGGATGCACCCTGCAATTCCTTTGCTCTTTGCATCAACAAGAGGACAAAAAGCCATGGAGAAGGCAAGGAAGCTCCAGCCCCCGTGGGGTGCGCTGGCTGAAACAAACACAAGCTGTCCACGCTGTAAAACAGCATTCATTTTAGTGGTGCAGAGGCTGATTTGTCAAATCATCACAGCATGTGTTAGATGTTAGTCCTAGTGTTTAGAATAGAACTACAGCTTCAGAAACACCCGGAGATAAAATGAGGGAGATGTAAGAGCTCGAGAAGAAGCAGATTGAAGTGGGTGGCACAGTGCAAGGATGTGTTAACTACTTTGCTGCACTGGTGGCATAAGTAAGTTTTTCTGTTATTTCTGCATGACAGTTCTGAATGCCTCTAGCAGCTTAGCACCCAGGTATGAAAATGATAGCATTTGCTTTTTTCAGTCATCTAGAAAGTAAGTTTTACCTCCTCCTCCAGTAGCAGGATGAGTCCAGACTACACTGACATGGGGAGAAGTCAGAACTAAGCATACTCTGTATGTCTCGCTAGAGGAGTTGCAGTTAAGTCTGCAATGACTAAGATTTTAGTCATTTGGCCAGGGGAGATTATCCATAGGTATGGATTGCAGTTGTCAGCAGTCACATGTTAATGGGGCATTTCTCTGCATTACGGTGCCATGCATTTAGATTTCTACCCTTGATTGCTGCTTTGGTGTGCAGTGGTGAAGTGCTGGAGCTGGATCACAGCTCAGCTCTGTGGCCGCATTCAGATCCCTGAAAGGAGCTAAAGTGCTATTTTGCACTTTATGGATTATGGAATACAGGATGCCCTCATGCTTTTATGCTTTATTTTTGATTCTGTGAGGTTATTTTCACTTCCTCTTCTGAAAAGAAACAAAATGTTAGATGTCTAATTGAATGGACTGCTGGAAAAGATGCATAAAAAGGTTTGGCACGTGAACTTCTGTTAAGCAAATGCCTTTGTTTCCAAACAGGCCAGTGATAACAAATATTTATTGACATTTTCCTTCCACAGGGGCGTTAGCAATTATAATTTGCTGGTACGTACCTCATGAGTACTTACACGTTTTGAACAGAACATCTGTTGGTCAAAGATGAAATAGGAGGTTGAAAAAAAAAATGTTTTTCCAGGGTTATGAAACTCACAGCATCACAAATTATCACTAGGAAAACAGTTCAAAAACCTGAACTTGCACTTGTGGAAAAAGGAACACAGATAGAGGAAACAGATAAAAACGCGTTGTGTTGGTAGGCTTTGTTTTCTGCAATGATGTATTGTTCCAGCGAAGCGGTTAACAAACAAATTATTGTCTGCGTCCGAAACAGCCAAATCTTTGGTTCCACTGAACAGATGTTAAGGTGAAGCAGATTAAAGCCGAATTCACAATAGGGCTGCTCCACAGGAAAGGTGCCCTAAGTTTATCTATTGTTAAATAATATAATTTATCGTCTTAGAGGGCTACGGAGCAATTTCTGTTCCTTTTCTACTTTTTGAACAAAGATTTATAACATAGATAATCCCCAATTTTAGATATTTGCTGCAGGTTATATTTGAAAGAATTTCCCAAAAGACTGATAACCCCCTTTTTTCCCTTAACCACAGTCAAACCAGTGAACTAATATGATGCCTGCTTCAAATAAATGTATTTGCTGCCTCTGTGCATGATAAGTTTTCATTTAGTCTACGATCAGCTGACAGTATGCAAGTTTGCAGATACCAGTAATTGAATACAGATAACCTTGGTTGTTGACCTATGCGGAGGCATGGCTGTCTAGTTTCCATTGTTTCTGTTTTTGCTAGTTGACACAAAACTGATGTGGGCTGAATTTATATATTAGCCATCCATTATAGTGGGAATTGCTTATCATTGTGGATGGATATTGCAAGAAGTTTCTATTTATTTAACCTAATAAGATGGCAGAAACAAACCTGATTGGGCCCACTCAGGATCAGAATTAACCCTTAGTGGTCCAGTTAATTGCTGCATGGTAACAAGGCATGTAAAGGATGCTTACCTTATTTCTGTTTTTTACATAATGATTTTCTTTTCAGTTAGAGGGATTATTTCATTTAGCAAACAATCCTTGCAATATTGAGAAACAGAATCTTAGAGTTGCAAAAGAGCTAGATAGTGCTGGATATCCAAATCCTCTTGGCTTCTGGCCCCGGCCGATGACCATTCTCCCAGAGGAAGTGGAAGCCCAGACTGAGCAGACAGTGAGGTAGAGGTTAGCACATGGTGCCAGGGTCAGCGGCGGCACGGTCCCCATCAGTGCTCCTCCAAGCTCTCTTGCACTGCAGTCAGATCGAGATGCCTTTGGTTGTCTGCAGTGCTTCTGACCAGCTTGGTTTTAACATCACACCGGCCACAGTTAGATGTGCGAATTTCCAGCTATCTGTAAGGTCATTTAGATTCAGAATAGTTTTACAAACGCAGCTGCTTACACAGAAGATCCTGGGCAGGTGAAGGATGAAGGCCCCTGTTGCAACTTAGGGATGACTGACTCATTGGCTGAATCAGGACGGCAACAAAACCAGAGACCATCTTTTTTATCTCTATTAAAATAGTGTTCAAACTCTGATCCCAATGAGTTCAAGGCAGCTAGCTGATCATTGTTAGCATTGTGAGCAGCTTTTCTTCCACCTTAGAGGAGCAGATTCTATAAGCAATTTCTGCTTTTAGCCCTTTTCAGAGCAGCAGAAGCGAGTAACGTGAAGTCCCAGTACAGCTGAATTCTGGTTTTGTTAAGCTGCAGTGTCAATCAGGTTGGCTAAACTGACCTGGCTTTTGAGATGGCATGGGTTTGTTTATTTCATTTCCTTTTATTTTGTAAATGTCCTCCTTTGCAAGTACAGTCTTAAAAATCTAGGGAACTACAAAAGGGAAATCTGTAAGCATCCTTTTTTGTCCACCTTTCTGAGCTTACCTTGCTTAGGGACTGCTTGTGAGGATTGACCCGGGATGCTGTGGGAATGCTGCACCTGGTTAAGGTCTCGCATTGCACTTCTGCCTGCATTTAAGGATGAGAGGTGCCTGGCAATATTGAATACTTTAGTGAACAGATCTTCTACTCCTAGCAAGCAATTTGCTCCCTACCCTGCCCCCTGCACACTGCTGCCTTCGAAGAGTAATGAGGGCTGGGTCAGCTTGGCCTTTTTACCGGCATTTTCTTTCTTTGGGGATCCACGACTCACCCAAAAGAAAATTAAACCACCTCCTAAAGGAGGGAGATATTTATTTC